ATAACCATATTAGAATAATATATTACCTTATTTATTACTTATATTAGCGCTTCAGTAATGCATTACAATATTGCGTTACTCCCTAAAAAAGTAACTAATTACGTTACTTAGTTACTTTTTATGGAAAGTAATGCGTTACTTTCGCGTTACTTTTTAAATATGAGCAGGGCTTGATTGTTTTTAATATAAGAGGTTCAAATGTAAAAGCCCTTTCACATCAAAAAGTGTACTGAATAAACCTCAGGCTGAAGGAAAAGTACATTCACGTTTGTACAGTAGAATGCAGGAGAAGAAGGTTCAACACTCTTCAGCAATAAAAAAACAATGAAGCACAATTGTTAGTTTATCTAAAGTAATTTTTGCTTATTCGTATGGTTGAACTGGATAATCAAAGGTCAGCAGCAAAGACATTGGTTAATAAAATGGGATTAAATACATTTGTGTTATTTAACATATTTAATTATTGCAGGTTTGCGTCATATTCTGAGTTTGCGTTTCACTTCATTTTGATGAATACTAAATCTGTTTTTTTTGTGAGTGGGATGATTTAATGCACATTCACATTTAGTCTAGAACTACAGTAACATGTTCACACAGCGCACACAACTCCTCTGCACTTCCGATTTCTCCCAACATGGGGACAGGACACTTGTCAGCCAATAAATGGGAAAACAAAGTAACTGTAACTCAAAGTACTTTTTTTGAAAAAGTAACTCAGATATTTTCTTGTAAATTCAAAAATGCGGTACTTTACTAGTTACTTGAAAAAAAGTAATCTGATTACGTAACTCGCGTTACTTGTAATGCATTACCCCCAACACTGTCTAAACCCGACCCCCCCGACAGCGTCAGAATATTCTCAAACACTATCCACCTTACTTTTCAACAGAAGTAAGCGTTTCCTGTGAATGTGCAAGACAATATTTGTATTCGAATGAACTTTGATACTTTTCAATATATAATCAATTTATAAATCTATGTTTTTCTCATCTTGTCAACCATCTCGTCCCAAAGCATTCTGGTATAGGCCTACCCAAGAAGAATACATACGCTTCATTAGAATTGGAATAATACCTTTTTATTATTATATTATTTGCAATTTGATGCAGTTGCTAATATTTATGACCAAAAAGAAAGATGAAATTCTGATGAGTTTGTCATGTTGATCAGTGATGTCTATAGAACAGTGTAGCAGACTACTTGCATAAAAAAATACACAATACAATACGGATATATGGATAATCAAGTAAACATAAGCTGTTTCAGATCAGTAAGTGTTCATCTTGAAACATACTAACAATAGAAGTTACTCTTAACATTACTTTACAAAAATCAGTACATTTACAGCAAAAAGACTTGAACCCCCGACCTAAAGGGAGACGTTTTTAGAATTATATTAAAAGTTTTCAGTTGGAACTAATTCTTTATTAAAGTAAAAACACTCAGCACAGATACAGGATCCAAAGAGGTATAACTTTATTTAAATCATAAACAACCAAACATAAAAAACTAAAACAAAAAAACTGCATAGGAAATGTTTAAAGTCCACAAAGACAAAAGAACAAGACTGCAGACCACTATGTATTTCATATAGCCTCATCAGCCTTATTCAGAGAGTAATAAATGACCGTTCTGTTGCTTTGGTTGAGGGGGTGATAGATGGTGGGATAGTGCGAGTTCTGAAACAAAAAGAGATGGAAAGAATGGTGGGCCTCTTGGAGGGCTCCTAAACCAATATCATACACCTGAAAGGACAATCATTTTATTTTAAAAGGCAAAACCGATTCCAGGTCAGAACTTTGGACCAGAATCTCCCCACACCTCTTTGCTTAGCCTCTCTTACAGCCAAGCCTGATGTAAATATCAAAAGTCTAAATGTCTATTATCACTATAATTCTAATTTAGAGACAGACTGTTGGCCTCAAATTTCTTGAAACCCTATTTTTCAAGCTTTAAGGCATTTTTTTACATTTTGTAACAGCCTTTGAATGCAAACACATTTATCATAATATATCCATCCATCAATTATAGAGGTAAACGATTCCTTTAGTTACATGAGGTTTAAATTAATCAAATCAAGTTCGGACTTTGTGAAGAATGCAAAACTGAGACATGCTGGTGTAAAAGTTATGAATTGCTCACCCCCTCACTGACTGTTTACCGTGACATGGTTGAAAAGAAACCCATGCAATTCAATAACAGCATTTTTACCAACAAAACAACACAAAAGCTCATAAGGTACTAACAAAGGATTCACTATCAAACTGTAGGAAACAAATATTGAATTTTAATCAAATCCCTACAAAGCTACCTGAGTGGTTTTAACGTGTGTATACACATCTCTTTTTTTCCCATAAGATAACACAATCATAAAAGCATCTATGACCACACAATTCTAAACTTACATTTTCTGTTTTTCTCCAGTAAGGAAGTCATAAGCTGGAATACACCAGAAATGGTGACAAAACCCGTACAATTAGAGACCGGAGGTCCAACGAAAGAAAAAGAAAACAAAAAAAAACGAGAAAGAAAGATTTTTTTTTTTGCAATGACTGAGTTTGATAACACTGACTTTCATGTCCATTGAGCCAGATAATATCTAGATAAAGTATCAGTCCTAAAAAAATGAATTGTCTCTCAAAGTAGAACTTACACTTTTAATATAGTCCAAATCACCGCTAAAGGGGTTTTATATAGTGGCTTTATCTGTACTGGTCTCTCCTGAGTCATCACAACTTCGTCAAATAAAACTCTACCACCACACAGTTGGAGATCAGTTTTCATTGGGAGCTGGATTCAAACTTTTTTCCATCTTTGGTCCTGTAGGGCACCTGCTCAGAAACTCGTGTTACACACAGAAGCCATCGTCCAGGGACGTGTTCTACGAGCGTTTCACCTCTATGTTAAGATATCGACAGCTTGTTGAAATACAAGAATGATCGATGCCAAACGAATAAATCTTCGGGCAAACATGAAAAATCGATTTATAAATACATCCACACACTGAGGTTTCATTCGAACGAGGTCTTTGGCAGTTTTTCAGTTCTGATTTGATTCCAAAAGCTAACATTAAGGAGCTGTGGTAAGGCATTTGAATGGAGCTCAGCGAGGTACCTTACTCTGTAAAGCTATCTAGAAATAGTACAATCATATAGTCAACCGCTCACCACAAGCTAACAAACGATATTCGCTTTTTGTGTTTGTTTTTGTTTTGGTACATTATACATTTTTTCTTCCTCCCTCCCCTTGTTTTCCAACATCCATATTTTACATCCACCCGTCTACAAGGACCTCTACAGCATGCAAAAATATACATTTAAAGTTCCCTCTTAAAGAGAGCAGGGATTCAGGGGGAAAAAAACAAAAAAAACTTTGTGGCTAAATATTCATCCAATCAAATCTGATATTAATACTGTAAGACAGGGAAGATCTTTGTTGGTGGAAGCAGCAAATCCTTAATTTTTTTATTGTATAAGCTCCTTACATCCATTAAACGGGCTTCCGTTACCCATGCTGGTCCTTTTTTTTTTTGTCTATTCTCATCTAATGTGCAGATGTCTATCAATTTTCATAAATCTAACTGCCTACTTCCCACTCTCACCAAGCATAAAACGCAACATTATCTCAATTAACATCTCTCCAACATAAATATGCCTGATGATCCACAATTTGAAGTCAATATTTTGTTTATAATGAGGTAATATACAAAGAAAAACAACTGAGAAAGATTCACTTTATAAATTAAAAGCAAAAGCTCAATGCACCCGTGACTTTCAGAATCATTTTTGGCACATGCCTATTTCCTATAGTCACCCTTTGGCAGACAATCAATTCCAATTTATCTAGCATCACGAAAGGCACAGGTAACTACATGCAAGCACGTTAATACTCATGATAGGACACAAGATAACTGCAGCCAATAAGAAAACGGCGGGGAAAACATCATGATCACTTTCCAACATATGGTCCAGCACTCCCACAATTTTCTGGTTTCAAATGCTACCTAAAGGTTAAACAGAAAGCATCATGCAAAGTAACCCCAAAGGTTAGTATTACAAACATATACAGTTAGTTGTGTAAGTGGGCCTGCCACACATATGTACGAACAAGCTGGATCCACACACATTCAGAAGGAAGTTCGTATAAAGCTCACCCATTTCAAAATATCCAAAAACACACACACATGATGCTTGCAAGAACAGGAACATACAAATTCCCATGGACCACTTAATACCAGAAAGGAAAAACTCTCATTTTAATGATTAGTGATTCTCATTGCCTGTTTGCAAACTTCATATTTTGAGTTATGACACAACTTTGGTGAGATACACTTTCCTGTTGGTCATAAAATAACTTCCATAAGAAGTTCAGGCAGACTATAATGGGAGAGCATGTGCTTTTGTTCTGCTGTACACCAGTGCTTTATAATTATATATTATTTTTTCTTTTCCCCAAATGCTTTGCTTCCTCTTTTTTCTTCTTCTTTCTTTTAATCAATTGAACACAGAAGCAAAAAAAAAAAACCTACCCACAAACTATCCAATTTCAAACTGGGTTAAATTGATTCTAAGTGTTTTCAAATTATGTTACACGGACCGAGTGAATGGTCTCCCTGGAGATCTTTCTTAAATGGGCACAGGAAGCACTGTAGGCCATGCTGTTATCAATAGAACAACAAAAACCAACTTGTGATCTAATGCAGCTGTTTGTAATAAGACTCTTATGAACCTGGCCTCAATATACATCCTATCTTGAAAGAACACTATATAAAAAAAATCCTTAGTCTGAGAGGAACTGGATTATATCCTTGTTTGCCAGTTGTGTCGATCAAGTTTACCTTGCCTAAATCATGCATATGAAAAACAAAACTATAGAAACACAAAGATAAGGGCTAGGTCATTTTTACACTTAGATATACACTTGTCTACATTCTTTCAATTTGTCCCTCCCCAAAAATAAAACCGATCTGAAGATCTTCTTTAAAGAACACCCTCCATTTTACTCTTTTATCATAACACATTTAAAATAATCATGGGTATCTGTTCTTCTGCAGTTGCATTTCTCATAGTCAGAGCAAATCTCATAGTCTTGATTACATAATGAGGGTCCTATTAAATTACTAAATTCAGATCATTTGTCTAGTTTAGAAGTCTTTTTCATCAGTTATACAGCATATTAATTTTTGGTAACTGCTTGCATAATTTTCAAATGGAAAAGACCATAAAGTGAGGTAAATGTGTAATGAGGCTCATGGACCCAGAGGTATAATACGGTAAATGAGGTAAAAGGTTTAGATGAGGTATGAGATAAAGATAAAGTCTGATTTAAAATGTACACAAAATAAAAAGAAAAAAGAAAACATAGCAGTAGATATATCAAAACGTTCTCCTAATGTTTCTGCCAAAACATGCAGCTTTGTTTTTATCAATCGTTATGAGAAACATTCAGGGATATAACTTTTGTGCACAGTAACAATCAGGAAAAAAAATTGTGCGAACTGTGCAAATACCCAAACATTGCTTCATTTAGTTTCGTTTTTTTTTACGTTCTCACATTAACGAAGAAAAAAAAAAACACTGAGGTAGACGCTTCTTTATAAAACTTCACGGACTCTGCACAAATGTGAGTACATTCATACATAAGCTAGATGAGGTAGGTGTAATGCAGAGAGAACATATTTCAATAATGCAAGAAATTCCCTGAGAAAAAAAAAAGAAAAAAAAAAAGATTTGAAGACACATACCAAGAGCAAAACACTCTCAGCCTTTAGCAGTCAAAACGGTGTGCTGTAACGGCAAGCATTTGGTGTTACACGATCACTGAGAATCATACAAAACTATAAAGTCCCTACAACTGTTGTCAACTTGCTAAATAAAACTACATTTGCTCCTGATAGATGTGCAAAATCTCCTTTTCCAGTTGTCCACAGTTACAGTTTTGTATTTCAAACCTTAAAAGGTCAGAACATGAGGATTCGGTTGTTTCCAAAGTCCACAGCCACGATCATTCCATCTGGGGTAACCGCTATACCCGAGGGGCGATCCATTTGCCCGAAGCCGTTACCGTGTGTCCCAAACTTGCATAAATAGTTGCCGTTGGGTTCGAACACCTGAATGCGATGGTTGCGGGAATCGGCCACGATAATACGATCCTCCTGGTCCACTGCTACACCTTGAGGCCGCAAGAACTGGCCATTTCCGGTTCCCTCAGACCCGAGGAAGCGTGCTGACTGGCAGTCGGGCCTGATGACAAGCAGCCGATGATTGTTGAAGTCGGTCACAACGAGGTGGCCTTCCTGATTGAAGGCCACACCGCGAGGAGAGTCAAAATGTTTCCAGAGGGCACCTTCGAATCCGTATTTGTTAAGGAAAGTCCCGTCAGGTCCAAAGAGTTGCACACGGTGGTTGCGTGTATCCGAAACCAGGATCTTCCCTTCAGAGTTGACGGCCACATCCCATGGGTAGTTGAACTGCCCATTTTTGGTTCCCTTCTCACCAAATTTGAGAAGAAACTGGCCATCAAAGGTAAAGATCTGGATGCGGTGATTGTCCTTATCTGCCACAATGATTCTCCTCTGGCTGTCACAGGCGACTCCAGCAGGGCGGTCAAACTGGCCCGGTCGTGAGCCCAAGGTGCCAAACTTGTGGTGGAACGTGCCACAAGGCTTGAAGATCTGCACGCGGTTGTTGCTTCGGTCAGCGACCACCACGTAGCCCTCCTTATCCACGCAGATGCCCCAAGGCCGACACAGCTGCCCGTCCCTATCGCCCTCTCCTCCGAAAGATGCAATGGGCAGGCCTACACCGCCGTAACTGCGACCGGATTTGACCATCACTTTGAAAGGACTTCCCTCAATGTGCTGATTGCATATAAGCACCGAGAGCAAATGCTCACCCTCGCTCTTGGGCAGATAGCTGACTGTGTACGTTCCATCTTGGTGGTCGGAAACATCTGCGCTAGACAGATTTCCATCCGGACTCATAAGCACAACCGAGACACTGTCAGCACCAGACAACCGAGGCTCACCGTCATGATCATACCCTACGACAGTAAAGGAAGCTAGCTTTCCTTGCAGTGCTCTCTTGAGGCCTTCACCGTGAGCTTTGGAAGCTGTGGCGAAGGCTCCGCTGCTGATGAGGCCCATGGACTTGATGGCAATCAGAAGAGCCTGGTCTGGTGGTGTGAACATGATGCGATCGTCTTCTTGGGGCTGTAGGATGCAGCGGATGGATTTAAGCTCCTGTAGCTGATTTAACATGTGCTCTCGTGCTAGCAGGACATCTATGCTACGGCCCTCTTCTAGAACCTGTGTCACTGTGGCGATAGTACTATCCAGCTTGGTGAGATTATGGTGAAGTTTCTCAACCTGCAGGTAAAGGGATTTTGCCTTCACCTGTCGAATCTTCTCCACCTGTGCAGGAAACAAAAATGGTTCCTGATGTTACAAATATAGTGATGTATAGTAACGAAGTGCAATTACTTTGTTACGGTACTTAAGGACAGTTTTTGGGTATCTGTACTTTACTCGAGTATAAATATTTTGCTGACTTTTACTTTACTACATATTAAAGGAAAAGCAATCTTTGCTGATCGGTCATAGTGATATCCAGTTTGTGAATGAATCTTTTGATCCAATTCTGTTGCTTTGAATTTGTCAATCTGGTTCGTGAAGAGGTGTAAATGATTTGTTTCACAAGTCACAAATCTGAATAAAACTCAAGAAGCACCAGCATAACGGATCTCCACTGTGGATCTAAATTGAAGACATTATTGGTGTAAGTTTTAATCTGTGTTTTATCAAGGTAAATATGTTTTAGGCTTAAGTAAACATTTTGAACTTGTGATTACGTGTGATAAGACATGTGACAGAACCCTCCCGCCTTTCCAAGAAAGGGGGCCATGGTAGTAATGAAAACAAATAGTGACAAACAAGATGAAAAGCTTGTTTTTCTATGTAAACATGCGTTAGATGGACATTAGAGATGCACTGGCCATAAATCGGAACTGGACGGTTCTTGCTTTATTTCGGCCAAACTCTAGACTTGCAAATAAACTGCATTGCATTAATTTTCCAAAATGTAATTTGTGTGGAAATAGTACAAAGTCTGTAAACAGGATATTAACAGAGGCCAGGGATTCTGAAGATGGACGAAAGACAGAAAATACTGCAGCAGGCAGAGCAAACTTACTGTCCACGATGCAAATATTGAATTCGGGATGGGGTTTATATGAATGTATCTTTGAGGGGAACTGACTGTCTTCAGAAAGTTCAGATGGCATTTTCTTTTCATCTTGCCTCTGTATAATGCATATCTAAAGCACAAAGTAGTGCAGCGCTGCTTTGTTTACAGCAGTAACCAAGGAAACGCTGTATTACTGCTGTTCCATAAGTGCCACCTGCTGTCAGAGAGTGCATTTGCATTCTCATTCAGCCTTTCTGCTGTTTTTGTTTTGTGCAGAAATGTTTTATGTAGCATAATTCCACAAAGCCAAAGTCAGACCATTTTTTATTTTTTTTAATTCAGATTTTGAAATTATACAGCCTAATTTAAATCAGAAAGTGCTCATGCTACATGTAGCATGGATCACGATTAAAATACAGTGGTTGCCTCTAATTTCCAATTGCTACAGATAGTTCTGCCTGTAAAACAGAAAAACATCTTGTTCATTTACTAATTGTAATTCTTTCTTAATTCTCTTGCTTAAAACAAAATAAATATAATAAAAAAAATTGGCAATCATATCACAACTGGCTCATTTGCTTGTAAAAAACTGGCAGTCGAAATCGGCCATGAAAAATCAGTATCAGTGCATCTCTACTGAACATCTTTGACCATCGGGTATCATTTTTTTCTACTGTCCTGCAAAAATGTATTTTTTGTGAACAATCCCTTTAACTCTTATATATCCTATCAGCAACGTAGCAGATCTATTCCACCAAGACCAAATACATTAACATTGTCATGTACATTACCATGCCAATTCCTCCGAGAGCTGTCATGACAGAAATATCTATATATTATTATAATAGATTTCTAGACCCTCAGTTAGGTTGCCACTGATACAATCAGCTGTGCCATTATTTATAAAATTTACTTAAGTAGTTTTATTATCAGTTACTTTTATACTTAAGTGTTTTTTATGGACAACTTTAACTTTTACTTGAGTCAATTTCCATAAAGGTATCTGTACTTTTACTGAAGTATGATGATTGGATACTTTATAAAACACTGCTAAAATATGCAGACAGACTTTCAAAAGGTAGTTGCTACTCCATGAATTAATGTTTGTTTATTCATTCACCTTCCAGAGCAGCTCACACTCGCGTTCCTCCAGAGCTTTCTTATGACGAAGAGTGATGGTTTTCACTTCTGACTGCACAACCTTAGCCTTCAGTTCCACTTGTTCAGCAATGGCCTGGGTTTTCTCGATGCTCAGCTGAAAGAAAATTTAATGAAAGGACTTAGACACATGCACATTTGTGAGGACATCTGAACTCACTTAAAAGTTAGGGGGGGGGGGGACCCCAGAACCCCAGATATATTATATTATGACTGCACAAAAAATAGCTGAAAGTGTAATATCGCTGCTTCTATGAACAGCTACAGAGCCACAGACTGTGACTGAACTTTACTGCAAAAACATAAATAAAAATCTGCAACAATTTAAACAATAGCAAGAGAACCAAAAACGTTGCGATCATTTGGGAATTCATTAAATATCTTCAGGTAATTAGCTAGGAGTTGCTCACAACTTCTGAAATACCTTCACCAGTTTTCGTCAAAGCACACAGAGACTAAAAAGCTATGAGGAACTATATAATATATTTTATAGTATAAGTATAGTATAATTTCTTGCACTAATTTCTTTATCCCTCAGCTAAAAAATTAAACAAATAACAGCAAGAAAGTCTAAATACTAATAAATAAATAAATAGAACCTCTCCACCAAACAAAACCGCTAATATATCTTAATTTGAAAGGATCCAAGGAAGCATGAGGGCTTCCTTTGTGATGTTATACAAAAGGGGGATAAAAGGTCTACCTTGGGGACAATGACCTCTAACATTTGCTTAAACAGTGATTTGTACACAGCCCTACCTATGCATGTCAGCTGACATCTAAACTGCCCACAAATGTAACATATCAGAATCGTAATATACATCTAAATGAAATTGTGCTTTCAGGGTTTCCACTTTAATCTATTTAAGTGATCCTGAAAGCTCAAAACTCAGCTGTGCCCTCTCATCGGGGAAGTATCTTTTTTATTTTTTTCAGCTCCACATACATGTCACATTTCAAAGATTATGGATGATAAATCACACAATGAGAGGAAATAAAGGACTTGTTGGTCTCATGACCCGGGTCAAGGGGTTTATCCATTAAGAGAAAAAAAGGTGTGGGAAAACATGTCATTTAGTGTGGAGCAGATTACCCAACCTGAGCCAAATTTAAGGTTCAAAGGGTCCGGAGCTCTACAACCTATAGCATAAACATAATCTTTAGCATAAATATAAACAAATGCATTTACAACAATGCAAAATCGATCAACAATCCAATTTTCCAGGATTTTCATTCACAAATGTAACTTTGCCCTGAGCAATTATTAATAAATCACCAATTAATTTGAGTCCCTGTGCTAAAATCTCTTTGTGGCAAAATATTTAAATAAATGCTGCTGCATTATATTACATTATATTGTCTGGTCTAAATATTTAAAAACTATATAGAGTCCCTTAAATGGATACTTTTTGTTAGTATGTACTTGTGGTGTAGCCAATTATTTTTTTAAATTGTACCATTTCTTTCCCACTGGTTAAAAATCAATTGTATAAATGTAGTTTATACAATATATATTTGCTTAATACTTTGCACTGTTAAGGTTCTATCCCTTTTTTCATATTTACAAATGTCCTCTGGCTAAAATATTATCCCCATTCTAAGATTGAGCTGTCAATCACAAAGGTGCAAACCAATCAAGTCAGAAACAGGAATGGGGTGAATGGAATAAGCAGCTGCAAAACTGCAGGCTAAAATCCAGCAAATAGGATTATGCAGCGCTAAGGAAGACTGGGCTGTCAGGGGTTGGTTATGGAGCGGGCCCTTCATGGGCAGCGTGCTTCCAGAATAGAGATTACGGCCCCAGGCTGAAGCCATTGTTAAAACCCTGCATGCGCTTTCATACCTCTAAACGTTTAGAGGCTTCCCATTTACACCATCCAGCAACAGGATTAGAGACACACTAGAACAAGCAGCCAATCAAGCGCAAAACACAGGTCAGGCTCTTTCAGATGATGCTATGTAGCTGAGCCTGATGAAGCTTTAGGACTGGACAGGTTTAGATAATTGCCATGTAAACGCATGGACTATATTTAGAATATAATACTATCTCAATACTTAAATACACTACTAATGCACAGTATACTGCAACGGAAAAACAGTACTATGCTACATTGATGAAGTCATAATTAAAGGCATAGTTCACCTACAAAATACAATTTCTGTCATCATTTATTCAACATACCCATTTCTTTTTTTCTTTGGAACATAAAATATATATTTTGAGAAGTGTGGTTTTTTTTTTTCCATATAATGGTAGTCAAGGGTCACCAACATGATTTGGCTACCAACATTCTTCAAAATATATTTTGTGCTCAATATGATGTAATTATATAAGCTGTGATTTTTGAGTCCAGGTCATGTGTTACACTGAAAATTGAAAGTTGAGCACATTGCATAGTCCCACTATGCAATGTGCTCAACTTTCAATGCAACACATGACCTACAGTATTCTGTGTACAGTGCTTTGTTGTGCATACTGTAGAAAAAGAATGAGCAGTATGTTAGCATTAGGGTTGCAAAAAGGTGGACAATTTCCAGTAAATTTCGGAAATATTCCAGAAATTTTGGAAACTTTCCAGGATTTTTTGGAATATTCCAGGGATTTTTGTAAAGTTTCCGGAAAATTTACCGGAATTTTTCCACCCCTTTGCAACCCTAGTTAGCATGCTAATATTCCAAGCACAGCCGCTAAATATGGAGTGGTATGAGATGATCAAAGGACATGGAGGACATTTTACAACTGCCCATTTATACCTTAAAGGAGTATATACCTAATATTTTGTATAAACTGGTACAAAATGTAAAAAATTTAATGTGGCAAGACAGTTGGGGGTGTATTTAAATGTAACCAGCACATGTGAAAAGCTGAGTGGTATAAAATTCCATTGGAATTCATACTCTTTAGTGCCTTCCTTTAACTGAAACCTCTTCTGCCTTTCACTTTCAAATTCACTTTTGGGTTTCCTTGCCAACGGACTCCGTGTCACTAGAGAAGGATGGATTTGAACAGCCCTAATGGGTGCTGTTCTCTCCCCCCACCCCTCACCTCGTGCCTCTTTGAAGAGTGACATAGAAACATTTCCTCTGTGTGCGACTAATGATCCGCCCTGCTAGGGCCATCAGGACGCTGAATAGAGGCTGTAACAGAGCACTGGGCCTGTGCCCCTCCCTCTCTTCTATTCTCTTCATTCAGGCTGAGTGGGGGTGGCACGCACAGTGATGCTAATGGAAGTGATGCTAATGGAAAGTCAGGTTGACTCTACAGCCCCTTTTTAAAAATCCCTTTACTTCCACAAAGCAAAGACAAAGATCCTCACTCACAGTTATTTAGTTGCAAGTATGTTTATGTGTATCAGAAATCACACAGTAACAAAATAGTGACCAATATCATTGAAATTAAATGTGGAAATTATTTAAACAAACAAAAAAAATATTCAAGATTAACGTAAATCAATTTACAATGGATATCTAAAAGGCAACTTCACTGGAATTTTTAAAAGCAGAAATAATAACTATCACTATTAATTAGGGATGTAACGATTAACCGCGAGCCGGTTGAAAATCGTTTCAAATATGTGACGATTCAAATCGGTTGAGATGCCAAACAAATCGCGATACAATTGGAGTAGGAGTTTATATGAATGTATCTCTGAGGGGCACGGACTGTCTTTAGAAAAGTTTACGTGGTATTTTCTTTTCATCTTGCCTCTGAACAATGCATATTAAAGTAGTGTTTATAAACGGCGGTAACCCAGGAAACACTGTATCATTGCTGTTCATAAATACTGCTCATTCAGCTCGTCTGCTGTTTCGTTCAGATATGTTTTATGTAGTATA